TCAATATCATTTGAAGTTTTTCATTAATAAAAAAGTTTCAACATTTACTTAAAGTCTAAGGTTATTGCTAGTTTTTCTTTCTTTTAACTGCATACTACCGGCATTTCTTCACACATCTAATAATAACCCTGATTCAAATAGGAAGTAACAAGGAAATAGATATCGGTGATTGTGAAGAAATGTAGCATTCAACAGGTGACATTGAGAAAGACATCGCTCTCGTCCACTTGTTGATACTGCTATCAATTTGTTGTTGTTTGTTATCTAATGTCAGACAACACAATTTTTATTGTCCTCCAAACACAAAGTCGGAAGTCTTACTATCAATGTTATTTCCTGAAAGTTGAATCACAAAGGTGTTGATAGTTTTGATTATAAAAAGCGTATCATTCTTTTAGCAAAAACAGAATTTTTAAGCATATTTATATTTTTAGTTTTAAAATTTGCTTACATTTTGTATTTAAAGTAATTTTTAAAACAATCAATCTTACCTTGGAAAACAAGGGTAATTTTGGCACAAATTATTGTCAATTTTGTCAAATTGCACAAACATAAAGCAGAGTCACTCAGAAACAACTCTCAAAAAGTACCTCAAAAAAGCAAACAACTGAATCACAATGACTAATTAAAAGTAGAGCACAGCAACACTGCACACAACACCAGAAAAAATGTAAAGCACGCATCAAATTAAAAACTGGTAAAAATGAGAAATTTAATGAGAAACTGCAAGTGGTGGTGAATGATGATGCTCTCTGCTGCTGTTGTATTGTCTCCATTCACTGCTGGTGCTCCTTTCTGGTGCTCTTGATGGTCCAATTTCAATGTCAGCAGTAGGAGCACCAGTGTTGGCAGGAGGAGGAGGAGGAGGAGGAGTGGGAAAGAGAGAAATGCTGCAGTGTGAGGCATAGTGGAAAGGTATGCCGGTGCAGAACGGCCATGCATTTCGGCCACTGCTTAGACTGCTGTCAATGTCGTCCATGCATTGTGATGGTAGTTGTCGCCGTTGTCGCCGTCGATGCAGTCGAAAGCAAACGAGTTTGGAGGGGATAAGTGGAGAGAGAGAGTGAGAGTTAGAGAGTCCAAATTGAGCTGAACAATTGAAGGTAGTGCGTGAGAACGATTGATTAGTGCAGTGAGCCTGTGCAGTGACAAGAATAGGAAAGAGACAGTAGTAGATGCGGAGTAGAATGGTGGAATACAGGGGTCTGCTGCAGCAGCTGCTGCTGACATAGGAAAGGGGAGGAAAGGGAAACAGGCAGATTTAATGATCGATTTGAACACGGTGTGTGTATGTTTAGAGATTAGGAAAAATGGATTGACTGCACTGCTTCGTTTGGACTGATTTGTCAACATTGTGGTAATGGTGGCGCTGCACTTGCTAATGATTTTTTGTCCTCCTGTTCGGTGACAGGTTTGATCAGGCAGTGAGGGTGAAGTGCAGCACTACTTTTGCTGTATTAGCAAAAAGTGATTGCTTTTGTTTTGCCCAAATTAGGTGCAACCTTACTTGAATGTAAAGAAACAACAGTACGTATTTTATTTCACAATATTGTTCAAAATTACAGAAATTGAGCAATCAGTTTCCAGTCTTGTCAACAATCACAACTTCTTCATCTTATCAACCGCCAGATCGGTCGCCTCTCCCAACTGGTCCACCTTACTGCGCAGGTCCTCGAGCAGTCCATCCACACAGCTCTGATCGTGATGTCGGAAGCAGTAGGCCAACTTGCGGACACTCTCATTGAAGGACTCACTGGCGAGGGAGCAGCCTGCCGGTAATGACTCAACAGTGTCCCGCAGTAGGGAGCAGTACTTCTCCTCCGCCGCCTTGCCGCCATTGCAGTTGACGAGAATATTCCTCAGCAGGTTGGTCGTCGTCTGGCAGAGTCGGTCTACTGCTCGGTCCTTCAGATCGAGTAGATCGGTGAGCTTGATGTGAGGTGGTGGTGGCTGGTCGCCAGAGTCATCGTTATTTTCCGCCTTAACTTTTGAGTTGAGTAAACAAAGCAAAAGCACCACCGTCGTCGTTGACAATCCTGCAACATTTTTAGAGGAAAGCTGCATCTTGCTTAGAAAATTGAAAATGGCAAACAAAAACGGAAAAGGGAGAAGAGGACTCAACTCTTTATAAAGGGGCTGATGTTCTCTTCTTTTCCTTCTTCGTTTCAATCAATCGAGCAACAGGTGGACACTGCAAGTGAAGGCAGTCGCTTCTGAGAAATGTCATCTTGATTCCAGTTGACGATTCAGTTGACTCGATGGACTCGTTTGCAGATGACGAGGAAGAGTTCTTCAGAGTGGTATAGCACTTTTAATTCAGGTAGCAGGTGTACAGGCACGCAATAGACTAATTAGCAGGTACAAAGCGCAGTCGAATTGAAACGCTCATTTAACCTGCCATTTACTGTCGATAAACTGTCTCCCTGCCTGTCTGCCCGCTTGACAAAGTGCTTGCCAATTAACCAAAAGTAGCAGGTCCAGTGCAGACTAAAGTTAGTGCATTTTTTAGCAACAATCATGAAGGTTTCTAGAACTTGACAACTTTCTGCTGAAGATCTCAGAGTAAAGGAAAATGAAGTGTGAGTGTAATTAATATATTAGTATTGGTTATAATGAAAAATAAAAGTGAATGAGTTAGTGAAAAAAGGAAGCAGAATAGTCCCTTAGGTGCTGCTCATAAGTTCAGCCAGTCAAGTAATGAAAAGGTAAGTAAAAAGAAGCTTCATTGAAGTCATATTCCAAGGAAAGCCAAATCTTCAGAGAGTTGTCCTAAAACTTAAATGTCGATTATAAAGGCCTCGCCCTTGTGCACTTGCCAGTAGTGCGTTATCACCACTTTACGCGTGAGACTGGCAAAGTTGCATTTGGNGTCAAGTAATGAAAAGGTAAGTAAAAAGAAGCTTCATTGAAGTCATTTTTCAAGGAAAGCCAAATCTTCAGAGTTGTCCTAAAACTTAAATGTCGATTATAAAGGCCTCGCCCTTGTGCACTTGCCAGTAGTGCGTTATCACCACTTTACGCGTGAGACTGGCAAAGTTGCATTTGGTGCACTCAAAACGGCCATGATAATGCTCCGTTTCCAGGTGAATCTCAAAGTGGAGACGATTATCGAAGAGACGCATGCATGAGTAGCAGTCCCAGACTTGAAGGTCACCATGAACTTCCTTCATATGAGCCTCCAGTTGTTCACTGTATAGGAGAGAAAGGGATGATCGTAAAAATGTATGATTAGTGTCAATTGAAAAAGTCAAGTTTCGACACTTCTTACTTCTTCTCAAAGCTAAGTCCGCACTCGAGAATCAGCGGACAGTGGCAGGGGCTAATGTTGTGAACTTCAAGTAGGTGATCACTTAAATCCTTCTGACTGGTGAATGTCCACTCACAAGTCGAGTCAAGACAGTTGACGTAGCGAGTGCGGTAAATCTCAGTTTCAGCCATAGCAGTTACGAGCTTTGAAGTTGGCTTCTCTTGACTACAGTTGGACAAACTCTTAATGTGCTGATCAAACTGTACGTTGTTAGTAATTGCTCGAGAAGTTGCGACACTTTTTGGTTTGGTACGTACGCCATCTCTTGAAAACTTTGTTCTTGAGAATAACCCCTGTCCCATTGAGATTTGGTCTTTAGAAACGAAAGCGATGTAATTACTACAGCTTTCTTCAGGGTTATCTGTTTGAGAAGCCACCTCGTGATGGGCAACGACATTCCTGTGGTTTTTCTCATGAACTTCATTCTTTAGAGTTGAGCGAACGTCACATATATCTGTTTGGGATTGAACTGAACGCTTGTTCTCTGGAGGTGGATCCACCCAGCGGAAAGGCGGATGTTCACCGTTGGTGTTGCAGTTGTAGAATGGCTCAAAGCAAGAATTAAAAGTTGCAGGGTTGAAACTGGTTCGGCAATTAGGAGTCGGCTGCAACTTTCGCTCATTCTTTTGGGTTCGATTTGCTTGGTTTCCATTTAGAAAAACTTGGTAAGCTTTTGTGTTTCTTAGATTGCCAAAGTTGTTTCGGCAATCACAATAGGGCATCAGAGAAGGTTCTGTCCATGGACTCCGAAAAGTATCGCACTGATCCATCATCTGTGGTCGTATCGAGTCATTGAGTGGATCTTTAAAGAAAGGCACCCCAGTAGCTTTACTTGACTTGCAGAACCGTAGTCGATCTTCCAAAGCAATATCCGGAATTGACATTTCATATTCTCCACTCTCATTCTCAGTTGATTTGCGAGGAAAATATGAAAACTTCATCACTCAGCTGAAAATAGAATATGACAACTTAAGATTCTTCCTCTTCTTGACTTTTCGATTTCTGTAAAGAAATGTTGACTGAGCAGTGTGTCAAATCGAAATGACTGCCTGTAATAAACTGAAGAAACCTGACTGCAGCGTATTTTTAAGTTGGGCACATAAAAAACGACAGTCAAACGTTCTTTATCAGATAAAACATACCTTATGGCAGTGATAACTGGAACAATGTTCCGAAACGAAAATGATCGAGTTGGCGCAACCCTTGACAAAATAAATTCGCAGCCAAACATAAAATGGCGACAGTACGTACACAATGAAGGGCTTTCGCGTCTTTTTGCTTCAGGATTTTGGTCCACTTTTCCGCTGTAGCTGCTCTGTCAAAGGTAGTGTGCTTTTGCGTAAACAGCGCAGCCTCAACCTGAAAAGTGCCCCGAAATGCCGTTTTTTGGCTTTGCGCTCTGCGTTTTTTTGTCAGACAAACTGGCTCACCAAAACTGAAGTTTATCATTTGGAATCTTTTGGAACTTTCTGTTTACAACCCTATCTGCTTCTCACCATTCACAACAATACACTGTAAGCACTTTTTTCCAGGTGAGTGGATTGTGGGACACCCAGCAAATGTTGCCTCATTTTTGCCATTCTCAACCAGCCGATGACTGCCGCCGCTCGCTCGATTCGCTGACTTCTCATCGACCACGTGTTCCATCAACAAAGGGGTGACTAACTTTCCCGACCTTCATCACACCGGAATCATGGAAGGTCCTACTACTACTCCAAAGATAAAGGAAGAAACTGAAGAAGATGACGACGTGGTTTTCCTTCAAGAGATTAAGCACAGTAACAAAAATAACTTTAATGCACAGGTGAAGACTAAAACTGAAAAAGATCCAGGGCCACGAAACGCTGATCCTTCTGAGATTAACAATGTCTTAGCGCCACCGGCTTATCCAATGCGTTATCTACTAGTTGTCAACGGCAAAGCTGAGTACACTGATTCTGTATGTTTTGTTGTGATGTGGCGTTACAGTTTTTCCTAATGCTTGCGTTTTCAGATATCTTCAGATGAATCTCAAAATGAGCTTTCAGACAATGAGGGATCATCAAGCGAATCATCCGACGAAGAGTCGGCATCATCATCTGATGACGAAGAGTCTTCATCATCGTCATCTGACAACGAAGAGTCTAGCTCGTCGTCTGACGGTGAAGAGTTTATTCCACTTTCTGACAGTGGCAGTGAAAGTTTTCAAAAAGGCAAAAAAAGATCGATTGTAAAGTACCAAAAACCAGTGCGAAAAGTAGTTCGAAATCGTTTGGCGGAGAAAGAAGAAAAAACAAAACTATTTCAAACTATGAAAGGGAATATTCAAAGAAAGAAAAACAAAACGTTTGTTATGTCGGATTCCGAAGAAACTGACGATGAAACGACTGAGACAGCTGAACCACCACAGTCCATCAACATGCTTTCTACATCAAAGGTAGAACTGTACAAAGATATATTTGGCACAGATGGAGAAGCGAGCGACGATGACCAGAATCTTTCTTCAAAGTCTTCCATTTCCAGTGAAGCAAAAGCCACAGAAACTGATGAGAAAGATAAACTTTATGCAAAGCTTAACATTCAAAAGAAAAAGTATCGTATACCAAAAGTTCGAAAAGACTCTAATCTCAGTTGTCCTTCTGCTGAAGACTCAACTAAACATCCGCCGACCAATGTTTCAAAGAACATCTCCAAACGTCCTTATACTAAAGTTTCTCAAAGTGTTGATCGAGCTGAAAGAAAGATCGATAATCGACCTAAGCAAATTCACCCTGTAAGCGCACCTCCTGGAAAGGACTGGCAGAAAGAGATGTCCAAGTTGAGCTACAAAGCTGCTGGCTCTTCAAGTGCCACAATGCAAAGAACCATTAGGCCCCAACAGTCTGATAAGGAAACTCGAAACAAGTTTATTAATTCGCTGACAAATGTTCTGGAAAAGAGGTTAGTCTTCTATCAGGTGTGTTTACGTTTTTTCAATTTTTGCATTTTCCTCTAGACTTCAACAATCGAATGAAACTGAATGGGCCATCTCTATGGACTCACTAAACGAAACATGCACCGCAATTGAATCCGAAACTTGGAAGTTCTCAAAGCGTTACAACGAGCAGTTTCGGGCTCTGAAGAGTAATCTTTCTGACAGTACTAATAATGACTTTTGGCGAGACATTCTAATGGGAAAGATTTCTCCGCGAGAAGCCGCAACCATGAGCTCAGTTGATATGGCTTCTCAGGCGAAAAAGAAACAGCGCGAAGAGGCGATTAAGCTTACCACGGAAGGCTACGTGCGCAATGCAATGGAAAACCGCGAAAGAGAAACTAAGCTGCGTCTAGAGAAGAAGGTTCACCGAGGGGAAATTGTGGAGAAGACTCCCGAAGCTAATGACTCGCAATTTCGACTATTGGAAGACTTTAAAAAGGACTCTCTTACTGCACTGCCTCCAAGCGGTTTGTGTGTCCCTTGCTGTCATTTCCTCATAATGCTCGTCCTCTTTTTGCAGATATTCCACCATCACCACCTGTTCAATCATCCCCTTCGCCTACTGCATCAACTGAAACTTCGCCTTCTGAAAGAAGAATTCCGGTGGAACCTCCAAAGAAAAAGTTTAGAAACGGTAAGCGAAAACAAGCCTTGATGTGGTATATTTTTAAATTATCTCATCAGACTCTTTCTAACGATACCCAACATTTGTTTATTTTCTGCGAAGAATAACCAACCAGCCAATGGATGGGAGACCCTTGTTGAAGATTATTTATTACTGGTATTGGTTTGACATTTTAATGTTGAGTTTCTATTAGATAAAGTTTGATGGGGATAATATAAAAATGTATCAAATCTCGGGGTGAACTTGAAAACTAATTTTAACACTCTTTCAGATTCTAAAGAACCACTTTTACCTATTCAACCGCAACGAGGACAACTACCTTCACATTCACCTTCTGAACCTTCTCATGCATTTTCTCCACTATCACCACCACTTTCACGACATCCAGTGCCACCACCTCCAGCCAAACGCAAGTCAATTACCCAACTTGAGTACAATCTCCGACTGGTCATCAGTTCACTACAACGTCTGCAAATCTAATTCTCTTACCTGTTTTTTCCAACCTTTTGTTACTACCTGATAATTCTTACTACACACTATTCCCTCTTTCCAATACACCTGATTTTCATAAACATGTTTACTTATAAAATGGAGTTTGGGTGTGCTTACATTAGAGCATATAAAATAGACAGTAAATCTTTTTGTAAAAATGCAGAAGCTTCATGCATAGAAGAGTAAGAGTTAGAAAGGGTGAGAAGTGTAAGGTCTAAGCAGTTAGATAAACAAAGTTGTGGGTGATATAAGATGGGAATGGAAAATCCTGAAAGAGGAGGAGAGTAAGGGAGTAGAAAATACATGATAAACATGAGAAATAGTAAGAGAGTGGCACGAAATAAAAGTTGATGGTTGATCACAATGAACGGGAAATACTAAAGATAGTGTGTGTGCAAAGAATGCCACTTGAACTCATCGGATGGGTGGTTTAAAAGCGAAAAATATTGCTCCGGGCGCGCGCGCCTACACTCGTCGCTGATTCTTCGCGCATTGGTACTGTTCGCCCAGACGAGTGCGGATCAATGGACAAAAACTATAAAGAGAAAAATGAGGATTAAAATCAATGTTTGCAAAGAAAGAGTCATACCGAAAGGTGTGCGCATCGTCTCCTCCTTGGCAGCCACAGATGTTGCACTTGTACTTGCGAAGCTCCGGGCAAGTGACCACATTCTGGCTCGTCTTCAGCCAGTGCGTATCATAGTTGGGCTTGCCAAGTCGCTTGCAGAAAACGCACTCCTTCTTCAGAACGCGCACCTTAGGCTTCGGAGCAGAGTATCTTGGAGTGCGGCGGTCGAGCGAGTAAGCGAACGAAGTCGGCAAAACTGCTGAATCGGGAAAAGTACTTGTGCCAAAGATGGCGTAGTATTCGGCATTGCGTCCCACAATCGGGCGACCGCCTCCGCTGATGTCCTCCGAAGACGACTCGGGCACCTCGCGGTTGGGTTCCTTGAAGAGCCAGATGTCCCATCCATAAGAAGGAGTGCTGAACATGTTGATCGAGTCACTGCTGTCCGTCTTGTTCACTTCAGCTACCACCTTCTCAATGAGCTTGACGTTGCTGGCAAACGGCGAGTAGGTTTCGAAAACCATGATGATGATGAAATCCGGTTCTGGTGATCCTGGGAAAGAGTTTGGGCGAGAGACGAAGAAGCTCGAAGGAGTTGCAAGAGCGAACGGTAAAATCGAAGGCGAAGAAGCGATGACGCAAAGAGAAGAGACGGTGAAGAGACGAGTGAGACGTGGAGAGATGGAGAGATGGAGAGATGCGTGCGCTGCGAGGGTCAACGAGCGAATGAGCTCAGAGCGGACCGATCGCCTGCCCTTATATCGACTTTGTTACGTCAGCGACGTCACCACTCACCGAGGAGGAGGAGAGAGGAGGAGGAGGAGTAGAGAGATGATGCGGAGAACCCTCTTTTGACCATTAGTTGACGCCAATGAGTCACCAAAAAGCTTCCAGAGGCTTAGCAAGTGATGAGCAATCACTTTGTCACTCATGAGGTGGCGGAAATTCGCTTAAGGTACTAGAAAACTCGGGATTTCTATTTTGAGGAGGAGGAGGAGCAGGAGGAGGAGAAAGAGAAGCCGCTCGGCAACCGAGTTTTATTGAGATACGCACACACGCATTTCATCATCACAGCAATGGCGCCAATCTTTGGTGGTTCCAAAAGTGGTTTGTACTTTATTGAAATGACATTTCACAGGGGAAACAGGTTTGGGTGACAGTGATGGTCATGTAACTCTGGTGACACAGTAATAGGTGGAGTAATGTATTGTACAGAATGGTAGAACAAAATCAGATCAGATCCAAATAGAACAGAACATCATGAAGAGAGACAGAGGATGCTGAGGATGTTAAGTTCTCACTAAGAATGGTCACAATTGTAGGGTCTCAAAAAGCTGATGCACAACCAGATTTTGTTGTCTCCACACCATGGTCCAGGGAAGAAGAACCCTTGGTTTCGCCAACTAGCAAAATAAAAACTTTTTTCGAGTTTGAAATGAAATATTGACGCAAGGTTAAAGGCAAATGGATTTAGAGAAAGCAAGAAAGAAAGCAACCTTTGTTTATGGCAATAATGAGATTACAGAGATAGATAAGAAAGGGGTGTGTTGGGTGGTACAGAAAGAAAAGAGATACACATTTTAGTAGTCTGAGTCTGAAAATAAAAGTATCAAAGAAATGAGTCGGTGTTTCTCGCACGACATGTAATAAGATTCAGGTATTCTCTTGAAACGGATGAGGGGTGTTTGCGGAATGAGGATGAACCAGTTTGTCAGCTACCAGAAGAAGTAGATGGAGAAGATGGATGGTGGAGATGATGGGCAAAGGGGTGACGAGGGCTCTACAAATCTGTACAACATCAGCACAACAACAACATCAGGTAATAACAACAACAACAAAAGTGGCAAAGAAGAAGAAGAAGAAGGACGAAGAAGGCATGATTTCAGAGTGAACGTTATCTCCGGCAGCACTAGGCTTTCACGATGGAGTTGTGGTGGTTCGGCTGTTGGTGGTAAATCTGCTGCTGCTGAACCAGGTGCTGCTGCTGTTGCTGGTGATGAGGTTGCGGCGGCGACGGACGCAGCAGCTGATGGTGCTGGTGGTGATTGTGACTGTTGGCGTGCACAATGGTGCGCTCCTTGTAGTAGATCTCCTCGGTCTCCTTGTCGCAGACCAGCAGCAGGATGGCGCCGATGAGGAAGATCGCAGAGCCCCAGCCGACGCCGTACGCCCATCCAAAGTACCAGTGGGGGCGGTTGGCGGGGATGGCGTTGCTGTGATGAAGTTCCGAGTAGAAGAAGGCCGGATAGAGGGTGAGAGAGACGATGATGGCCAGAACTGTACAAAGGAAATTGTAGAAGATCAGAAAAGGAAAACAGAATCGAAATGTTGGAGAAAGAACTCGAAGCCTTCGAGTCGAAGGCACCAGATTTTCAGTTCTATTTTGCCACCGTTGGCTGATATCTGCCTACGAGCTGGCGCCACTGGCGTCACCTTCAACGACAGGAAAAATGAAAACAGAAAAAACTTACGAGCTGCCAAGTTGATGTACAGTGCAAAGCGGTAAAAGGTGTACTTGCGATTGGGATCTCTGCTCGATAGGCCAAAGGACGTGAGGATGGTGGCCACGATGGAGAGCACGAAACAGGCGACGGCGAAGAAGCCCGACAGTTTGATGTACGCTGAAGGGAAAAATGAAAGCAAACGATGAAGACATCAGCCACTGTACAAGTGAACCAAAAAAACTGAAGCTCCAGCAAAACTCACCCACTTCTCTGCCCCAGTGGCAGCCATCCTCGTCGGTGATGCCGAACGGCAGCGGTCTCGGTGAGTCCACGTCGATGCAGTACTGCCAGAGACCCTGTCGGTATTTGGTCGTCGTCAGCCAGTTCGTGGAGAGAAGGCATAAGATCATGAGGAGGTTCACGAATAAATTGCATATAAGTGCAATAACCTGGGAGAGTGAGACAGGAGAAACAAGGAAAATGGTAGTGATTATCATCATCATCATCATCTGACGTCATCATCAAAGTCTGATCTAATTGCTGAGTTTGTCCACGTTCACTCTTTCATTCATTCATTGGTGTGTCGGTAAAGAAAAACAAGGGCGCAAAACAGCAAAACAAAACCGAATCAAAAGCCGTTGACTTGACTCACTCCACTTCAGTTCACTTCACTCACTCACCCAGCGAGTGTTGTCAATGGTAATTAAACTCAAGCAGTTCCGTCCTTTGCAGGGAATCACTGCTAAAGGAGACAGAGATGGTAACAATAATAAAGAAGAAAAAGAAGAAAATTACATTTGCGATAAAAGGAAGCCGCCAAGGAGTAGTAAGAGTAAGGAGGAGAAATTACATTGGTGATGAGAAAATTTAAGAAGAAGAATAATAGCAACCGAATCGGGTCTCCTCTCCTAGTCGGTTGCCTTCTTCATATTAATGGCAGCCCAGCACGGTCGGTGCCTGCTGATGCATGGAAACGTCCACCCGCCGCCGCAGTCGAATAATGTGTCTCCTACTTTGTCTTCCTCCTATCTCCTCTTCTTCTTTTGCAGAATCGTTTTCTTCTTCCACTTTGACTTTACTTGAACCAGAGAAGGCTGAAAAGTGATCACCGCCACCACACGACCACACGCCGGCCACTCAAAAAACGCTGTGTGAGCTATGGTTTGCCTACTTTGTCTTGTCCCTTACAACTTTTCTTTTTCCTTTTTGTCCTCTTCCCTCCTCCTTCTCCCCTCCTCCTCCTCTAGAGTTCCATTTAAAAGCCGGTCACTTTGCTCATTATCTGCCACTGAAGTCTCTCTCTCACTACCATTCTAAATGACCAGATGATTAATGAACAGCAAAGAGAGTCGGAGACGGAGACGCACAACCCGACCACCGTGGAAGAGAGTGGCCGTGGAGAACAATTAGCAAACTGAGAACCACTGAGAAACAGCAGCAGCAGCAGCTTTCCAGAGACCGGCTCCAGAGTTTGCGGAGATAAAATGGCTGAAAAACAAAACACAAAGTAAAGAGAAGGGAACGAAGTGAAAGCTTAAATAGAAATAGAGAGTGAGGGCAATGGGAAGTGGAAGGAAGGAAAGGGAGCCTTTAGTCCGAGTGACCAGAAAGTCGTTATCGAGAGGCTGTGGACGGCGGCGGCGACCAAATTGGACGCAAATGGAGAGCAAATGAAAGCCAAACAGCAAGCTTACCATCACCACCAAGATCGTGACCAGCTCCGATGGGCTCAATTTTCGATTCCTCTTTCGTCGTTCGCCTTTCCTTTTTTGCTGTCTCTACGCAAATTCTTGCTCCCTGGCTCACTCCCTTGCACTTTCTCACCCTCTCACCCTCTAATTTGCAATTCTTCACAACTGCCAATCGCCAACTGGGGAATTGATGCAATTTAGGGATGCACTGAGGATGCTGCCTTTGGCACCAAGACAAAGGCGGTGAGGAGGGAGTTTGCCGCTCAAGATAACCTCAATAAGGGCAAGAGCGAAGAAGAAGAAGAAAAAAGAAACCAACTTTAATTTTCGATTAAATATTTAAAGCGGCGGGAAGTTTCAGCGTTACAGGCCACTGTTGAAAAGTCCTGCTACAGACAACACACACAATTGATGAGTGCACTCGTCAGTTGTGTGTACACTGCCTGATAAAACATCATCATCAAAATGTGTTTCCGTTTTCTTGCCCTGTGTTACTGCTGCACTAATGAGAACAGAACAAGCATAAAGACAGTGGACNATCAGTTGTGTGTACACTGCCTGATAAAACATCATCATCAAAGTGTTTCCGTTTTCTTGCCTTGTGTTACTGCTGCACTAATGAGAACAGAACAAGCAAAAAGACAGTGGACAGCGGGAAATGAAAAGTTTTAAAGTTGGCAGAGCAAAGTTGTCAACTTTTGTTCAATTTCCTTCCCCCTTCTTGCACTTTAAAAGTACAATGCACTTTCGATTGAAGTTGCAGTGAGTGAAAATTTTATCCAACTATTTTTAATAATTATGAAATAATAGCAAGTCGAATAGGAAAATCAACGACAAGCACCAAACACAGGGGCAATTGTCAAAGGACTTTGTCAAGAAGTACTGGAACTGCCATTTGANGCAGTGAGTGAAAATTTTATCCAACTATTTTTAATAATTATAAAATAATAGCAAGTCGAATAGGAAAATCAACGACAAGCACCGAACACAGGGGGCAATTGTCAAAGGACTTTGTCAAGAAGTACTGGAACTGCCATTTGACTAATCGCTTTTAGTTATTATCAACTTTTAATTGTTGCCAGACAAAAATGTGTCCTTTAACTTTTTTTCTATTAATAATAACATCACTATGAATCAAAGTGAATGAAGCAAAAAACTTTTAGCTGCTAGGTTTCACTGGCACACGGTACCCTTTTTTGGTTGTTGCTGTGTCGCTACTGCTACTTTTAAATTCATACACAATCCCTGGGAGATGGTAATTTAATGTAAATTTGTTTTTTGGACAGAAATGAAGAAAACTATAGAGCTAGGAAGAGAAAGGAAAAGAGAGAGAGAATGAGAGAACGACGCAAGAGAAAAATCGATTATAATTTAAAAATAGAGAAAAGT